CAGAGAGAGAGAGAGAGAGAGAGAGAGAGAGAGAGACTCTGAGAGAGAGAGAGAGGGAGAGGCATCAGGCGAAATGCCAGGCGGCTCACAATTGGTGAACTTGGGAGCAAAAAGATAACCACTGAAATTGCAGGAGGCAAGAGATAGCTAAAAAAATCTTAACTCTTCATGAAAACATCACCACGTCCCCACACTGTCCATCGGTCACACATGTCTCATCGCAAAACTGCAATCCCAATGCATGTTTCCAAGATCACCATAAACATCACTGCAAATGATGCAATTTCCTCCCGGACCCCTTCCCTTTCTAGCCACTCAGTTCTCATGAGCAGCCAACAAAGCGGCTGGACCAGGTGTCTTTTTGTGCTCTTGAACGCTGCAGTTGATGTTCCGCTTCTGCCAATGCATCAACTTCTATTCATGACTGTGTTCATGCCGTGTTCGCAAAAACTCAAGTGCTACTTAATCTATTTTGTATCACATTACTATCCTAAGGCTTTTTCTCTTTGTGGCCTGAGGGACCACAGATAAGATATAAAACTGCCAGTGTACAGCCCCACAACTTGAGAAAATGAATGGCTCACTCACTCCTAAAATTCGGAGGCTCAGGACTACCAGACCGCAATGGCTGGTGGCGCCAGCCAAAAAAGAAAAAGAAGTGCGCCACTGGCGGTTCGACGAAACTTTTCACGCAGTGCAATTCCGCCAGGCTCGGGTATACTGGTGGTTTAAACCGCAAGTACACGTCCCCAGCCTTGCAGAAAGTTTTTGTCGCCAGAAGCAAAACTCGGAGGGGCCGCGCGGCGTGCAAAAAAAACATTGGCGGCCTCCGAAGTGGTGCGGGTTTTGTGCTGACACCCACGGGCCGATGTGTGGTGTACTGGCGCTTTAAACTGATCAGAACAGCTAGTACATCTATTGTGGATAGCATTGCTATCTTTCTTCTTTTACTGGCCCAATGGACCACTTGTTCTATTTTTAGACGAAAGGCCAAGAAAGGTATCAATAGCATTGCTATCATTCTTGCAGCTGCTCAAGAAGGTCAGGCTGCGCCCATTTCTCGTACATGGATGAAGATATGTGGACAATCGACATCCCTTTCAACCCTTTGCACTCCTCTGGACATACACCGTTGCTTAGGTCGCAAGCAGTCTGGCGATCAGTGGACACGTACGGCTTCTTTCAGGCTTAACTGGGCGGTTTTGAACAACGCTTTTGGCTGATTAATCCACCAGTGTGTCCGAAGACTCCGAACCACTTCTTTCCAAATCAGATCATGTTGTTTTTTCTGTGCGGCGCCCAGTTCTACCGAACTGGCATGATGGATGTGAAATCACGTCTTCTTACCTGGCACCGCCAGCCTTTTCCATTCGGCGCACAAAGCCGGGAAAGCCCCAAAAGACGTGGTGTGTTCATACCTGCGTCCTAACAAAGTAGCTGGGAAATGTGCTCAGCCTGTTGGTTCAAGTGGGGTGTTTCTCCTCGTTCCGCACTTAGACCATTAGAACGTCCTAGCCTCTTTTTCCGGAAGTGGATTTGCACTGTGAACCCAAAAAATAAACCGCCAGCATTGCAGTTTTTCCCTTTTTTGGCGGGCACCGCAAGCCATTTTGGTCCGGTAGCACTGATCACCCAAAGAACCCGGTGGATTGATGCAGTTTTGATGCTCGATTTTGCCTAGGCGCCGTGGTTGGCGGGGTTCTGGTGGAAGTTTAAACAGCCGATCTTTACAGCTTTACCGTAACAATGTCCGAGTTGTCACAGTGCATGTACTACTTTTCCTACAGCCATGGAGATTTGAAGATATCTGTGCATTCCCTTGTCTGGATCTGGATTCCCGACATATAGTGCTGCATAGGACCTGGTTCTGTCGGCTGAGCAGCCTGGTGACCGGTAGACCCATGCATCTTCTTTGTGGTTGAACCAAATGCTTTTAGCCAACACCTTTGGCTTCTTTAACGGGGTGTTGATGACCTCTCTTGCTTTCACGATTGATTGTGGAAGCTTTATAGTGCCATCCCCAGTTCCCTCCTCTGTGTACAGGAATACAACGCGGCCTTTCCTCATCTCATTCTTAAGGTCCTCCGACAAGTTCGGAAAGCCTTCGAAGAAGTCAATTGATGCCTTGAGTATGTGCCATTTTCCATCATTGCTGCATGTTGGTGTGCTGAATACGAAGGAGCTGGCGAGGCGTGCTTGGACATCACAAAGCTTGATGTCGTATCTACTCGCTGTGGGGCAGTTCTTTCCATCTGGGAAGTCATTGGCCAGGCAATTCTCGCAATGTGTCGTTGGGCTGAGAGGCACTGTGCTCCTCACGGGCTGCCCAACGATCGACTCAATCCACGCCACGCTGTGACTCACACGAGCATAGACCTCCGGAAGGCCAGGAACTGCACATATCAATCCCAGCAGGTGCATTCCCCAGCTTGTCACTCCGACCTGCACAGGACATCCTCCACGGGACGATAGAGCGAACAACGGACCACCGCTGCACAGAAAAGACAAAAATGCACGCACACACAGGACTTGTCAATCCCACGACACACACACACAAATGCATCCTGGGCAGACTGTCCGGGTTCAACCTCCTGATGAGTCGGTGAAAGTCTGACGAAACAGTCTCAGACTGGTACAGTCATGCTTTTTTTTAGTGTGTAGCGAATATGACAACACACACACACACACACACACACACACACACACACACACACACGCACACACGCACGCACCTACGCACCTACGCACACACGCACGCACACGCACGCACACGCACGCACATGCACGCACGCACATGCACGCACACGCACACACGCACACACGCACACACCGAGGAGGATGGAGGTACAGGAGTCTCTCCCCTACTCTCCCATAAGCCCAGAACCGAGACAGGAGCCAACAGAGCTAGAAGTTGAAAAAGTGGTGGAATGGGTGATGAAGTAGGTGAGGTACAAGTGAGAAATTGACACAGTCTGAGGTTTTGTGCTTGCTATCGTCTGCGGACGAAGGATTGTGAGTGTTCCAGGAATATATAGCCAGATTTCATAACTGCCCTGAAGTTGATAGTTAGTGTTACACCCTCTCGTTGCTGGCCCGGGGCTGCCATTCCAAGCTTATGTCACTTCTCCTTTTCACCACCTCCCAGCACAGGTCAGGTGTCAGACTCTATACATCGTGTTACCACTTGGCAGCATCCAATTCACACGTTTGTCAGCCTGCAGGTGCAGCAGGGATGCAGCTCTCACGAGCAGCTTGTGACGTTTATAAAAGCACATGCGGTTACAGTTTTGCCGACAACCCATGTGGGCGGCAAAATGTCAGCCACGTCGGACCACATCACATCCACTTTCCGTTGACTTGTTGTTGTCAACCATATGCTGACCTTACATACATTAGCCACATATCAGCCACCAGGCACACACATGCACAAGCGTTTGATAGATTGTCTGCTACTGGCACAGAAATCTGATATTCAATGTGCAAGTAGCTGGGAAAAAGAAGAAGAAGAAGAAGAAGAAGACAATGAAGAAAACATGTGGTGTGTGGTATAAGAACATGAGTATTGTTGGCCCATCAGGGCCATCATGTGAGATCATGGAACATCCAACACCTGAAGATACCTTGAGCCACTCATCTGGTTGGCTAGCAATTAAGCATCACTTTCTAAAGCAAAGAGATAAATTTCATAGATAATTAGAAAAAGGAACACCAAAAGCGAAGGCAGCTTTCTGGGTCTCTGCTGACGATGAGGTGCGAAAGCATGGGGAGCAAACACTGTCACAGACTCAGGCGGAACACACAAATTGCCATCTGCATCAATGTTGTTCAAACTTCAAATCCCCATGTTTATTTGTTTGGTAAGCGTCATTTTCCATGCGCAGGCCGCTGAAAACATGTATTATGAGGACATGAGTATAGGCCTGTCACGCAAGATTGAACATCCAACAGCTGGGGTTTCTTCATATCAGATGGAAATTATGCTGCGCACTAGGCTCAACCAAGCATTGGGAGATGAGTGGCTAAAAGATGGTTTAACTTATACTTTGAGCCACACATTTGCAAATGGTTGGTTGAGCATCATTTCTCAAAGGCAAAGCAAAGCAACACACTGTCAGTGAAGTTCAAACACACAAGTCAGTGACACCACCTAAGGTCCACCACGACTCCGTCACTTCCGAAAAAGAACATCATCTTCATTTGGTTGCTTAGCAACTTAGCATTATTTCAGCATGGCAAGCAGCTGAAAACATGTGGTATGTAGAGAACCCCCTGTGGTTGAAGCCGGTTTGTGCGCTTCGTCTGCTTCCGAATTGTTGTTTCTTCCTCTGTGTGTTGAGTTTCTCTCCAGTTCTTGCTCTATCTCTGGTTTGAATTTTGCTTGCCGCCATTGCCGGTAATAAGTAAACCGCACTGGTACCCTCCAGAATAGATGGGCCTGTGTGTGTGTGTGTGTGTGTGTGTGTGTGTGTGTGTGTGTGTGTGTGTGTGTGTGTGTGTGTTATAAAAAAAACAGAACAAAAGTACAACATGTGGTAGGATAGTAGCAGACCCTTTTTTTTTTTTTTTTTTTGGGTGCTCACTATCGTGGCTGGCAGCAGAACGTGCGTATCGGCCACGTTCGCAATACATGGAACATCCAGCGGCGGAGGAATCCGATACTTCCAAGTTTTAGTCAGTAACTGGTTTTGTTAGCAGTGTTTCCTTTCCAAGGCTGCAAAGCAACACACAAATCCTCATCCTGACGAGGGGTTTGTCGGGGCGCACATCATCGTCTCTCCTCTCCTTACCTGTCTCCAGGACAAGCGCCAGTCCCTCCATCGGCGCATCCTGCACATATCATCTTCCTGTGGTCGTAATAGAAGCTTGTATTAAGAAACAAATCTGGTACTTCCTTGTAGCCTTCATTCTCAAGGGTCCTTGCACAGACGTCCGGAAGGTGATCGACAGTGACCACTTGGAGCTTCGTGGGAAAAGGTCCTAAGCGTGTGCTTATGCTTCCAAAACCCGTCAGCGTCAGATCTGTATTAACCCGCAGGCTGGAATCGTCCGCAGAGAGGGCAATAGATCGAACTGTGTCGCTGAAGCGTAAGGGTTCTGCCAACTTCAAAATGGCAAGATCATCGCTCATTCTGAATTTCGTGTGCCCCGGGCGGGTATCGTTCACAACGCTGAGTACATAGTCTTTGTGGATCCAGAGCTCTGAAGCCACTCTCACTTGCGCAGATTCGAACTTCGTTACATCCATCGTACCCGCAAGTACTGAGTAAACACCCTCAGCTGCGTTTGGGTTTGTGTTAAGCTTCCAGTGGTTTTGCCCACTTGAGACGTTGAACTGGGAATCATCGAAACAGTGAGCTGCAGCCGGGAAATCACCAGAAGTAGACAAAATAACAGGAGAGGAAACCACTGGTAAGATTGCAATTATATATATTTTGACTCTTTTTTGCTCCCAATCCTCCCCTCCCCCACCCCCTGCTGCCCCCTCTAGAGGGAAAACAAAAGCACCTATTTAACCAACAAGTCTTTCTGTTGGTGCAGAGCTGCATTAGCTGAGAACCAGGGTTACCAGGCAAAAAAAAAAAAAAAAAAAAAAAAAGGCATAGACTTCCAAGTTCCCAACCAAACAAGATCTGAAACAAGGGAGCTGAAGGGACCAGGGAACCACAAACTGTATATATATCCTCAAACATATATATATATATATCTGCCTACGGTTTACCGGGCAGTTCTGTTTGTGACGATATATATATATCATATATAAATTATTAATATAGATATATATATCGTATATATATCGTCACAAATAGAACTGCCCGGTAAACCGTAGGCAGAGAGAGAGAAGAGGACAACAAACGAGGGGCTGTGACAAACTGTTTCGTCGGAGTTTCACCGACTCATTATATATAATTAATATAGTAATATGCAGGAACCCTACCGGCACCCCCTCTCGGAAAAAAAAAAAAAAAAAAAAAAAAAAACTCCAAAAACTCGGAAACAAATATATGTTATGCAGAACAGGGTAACCGAAGTTCGGGACGGGCCGAACACCCGAACGTATGGGACCCCTTGGGGATGCGTTCGGCCGTTCGGGCCGAACGCGGACCCAAAAAAAAAAGAAAAAAAAAAAGAAAAAAAATCTGAAAACAATATGTTATGAAGAAAAAGAAATTAAACAAGATTTGCCTGAGCATTACATCCAAATTCCTTACCAAATTTGAAATAAAAATAAAATACGAAAAACAAATATGCGAGGATCAAGGTCCTCGGTAGGCCTAAGGGGCCCTGTTTGCAGCATTGCCCGCCCTAAGTGAAGGCGGAGGTGCCCTCCCTAAGTGAAGGCGGAGGTGCCCGCCCTAAGTGAAGGCGGGCCTGACATATAGCAAGAGGCCCCCTACTGTCAATTTCATATTTGGGGTCCAGGCAGTTGCGACGCGCCAGTTGGTTGAGAGAAACTCAGGCCGGGCCACAAAGACATTTYCACGGCCCTCTGGGCTTTTCCAAAGAATGCAGGCCCTGGGCGTGAATCGCAGCCTCACACAGAGACAGTTGGGCGCCCAACCGAACGAGGCCCAGCAGCCCAGAAGCTGCTGTACACAGGCAGCCTCCTGGGGCATTCCGGAAGCTTCTGGGCCCAGGCCAGGGCAGCCAGGCAGGGCAAGTAGGCCAGCTCTTTCCATAAAGGAAAGAGCTCTCTGCTGGCAGCCTCATTCGGTCACTTGCTGGCTGGTGGCAGCGCTGCTGGAGCAATTGGTCGCGGGCTGGCTGCCGGCATTGGAGCAAGAGGCTGCACATGTGCGGTCGTGTGTGGGAGGAGGGCGCTGCTGAGGGCAGCGCCATAGCCAGCCTCCATAGCGGGCTCGGCTTGGATACACAGTGAGGCACAGGGGTGGTCTTCAGGTGCAAGAGAGGACAGGTGTGGGTGTAAGTTAGGGAAGGGCGAAGGATGATGATGATGATGATGATGATGTGAGGGCACTTACCTTGTATTGGCGATGGTCAGCATATGGGCGACATCTTCAAGTACTTCGGGTTGCCGCTGATGTCAACAGTTGCATTGTCTATTATTAGGCTGATCGTAGCTGTGTAGGAGTAGGCTGGGCGCTGAGCGCCAAGTAGGAGTGTGAAGGGACTGCAGTGACTCTTGTGTTGCTGAAGGAGAGAGGAAGCTCTCCATGACATTTCAGTACTACGAACCTCCATTGGTGTATTATTGGTGCAATACTGCTCCCTGCGGCTGGTCCAGGATCCCCCTACTGTAGCCTTGGGTAAGCTAGGACAATCCGGACTTGTCTGTGGGTGCTAGCCTGCCTTAGCTGCCTGCACCTGCTACTCGGTTCGGGTTGAACCTCTGGCCATAAAAAGGGGGGTTAGTAAAAAAGAATGCTTGAGCCTGGCGTACGAAGTTCCCGTACGACGAGGGTCGTCCTATTCCGCTTCAACTACGGCTGGGTGGCCGGTCCGGCCTTGGTACCTATGCCTGCTATTTGGTCCAAGTCACCCTCAAAGATGGTACTAGGGTGATAGCTCTGAGTGATTTACACTGAGGTGGGATAGTGGGGACGGGGGCTTTGCTAGGAGGATTGACGAGAGGATGGGTTAGGAAGTAGCCTCATAATTGGCAGGATAACCAATGGCTGACGAAGACTGCAACCAGCGCGTGTCTGGAATCCGACCTCTACAACAACCTGGGCTTAAAGCACTAGTACATCCGCCCGTGTTGGGAATTTACGGGGGAAACGCCTGTTCCCAAAGAGTTCGGAGGCCGGGCCCGATGACAGCTGCCATTGATAAATCTCATAGGCGACCGTCGTTTTGCTTCGGCCTCCTAAAAGGTCGGAGGCCCACCCGAAGCCCGCTATTTTCCCACTCGGCAAAGGTACTAGTGGTTAAAAAAAAAAAAAAAAAAAAGTGGGGTACAGATGCAATTCCCTCCCCCCCGGGCTCAAAAAAAAGAAGGCCCGCAGTTCCTGCGGCCAGGAGGCCCTGCCCTTGTGTGGCACAGTGGTATTGAAGGCAAAGGAGGTAGAGTTGGGACCATTTTCAGAACTACAGTCTTCCCACCCCCAGCATAACGCCCACTCCTCATGAGTGTATACAACCCATCTTTCCAGTCCATACAGATATGGTGAGGGTGGGTTGTGCTTGGGAGGGGGCAATGGCTGTATCCCTGGCCTGCTGGCTCTGGGACGTGGTCCCACTTTCACGGACTAAGAGAGACTGTTCGTCATCCTTTTTTTGTGTTTTTTTGCTGATCAGATAAAGAAGATCAGCAGCTAGTATCTCTGCGATTCTCAATCTGTGCAAGTCCAGCTTGATAATGGTCCCAGTATTTCTTTTTGTTCCCCAGTGAAAAGAAAAAGCATTAATTTTGTGCATGTGGGACCCCCTGGGCCCAATTCTCCTTTCTTTCTTTTTTTTTTTAACGAAATTTTTATTGATTGCAAGCAACAGTCATCCTGTGTCTTTTTTCCTTCTTCTTCTGTTAATTGCATTCCAGAAAGCTGGGAACCAGGCCCAGCATCCCTCTCACGAAATTTAGTGGCCCTATGTGACAATCAGCGCACTCTGCCGAAGCCTAACCCTGGCCACAATTCACAGGCCCTGGGATTCAATGCTGAGTCATTTTTGGTCAGGCGTGCGGAGCCCAATCACTTTTGTGGGCCCATTCACACAGTTTTTTGTTTTTTGCCTTGTTTTCAAAACATCCTTTTCACACCTGAGGCTCTTCTTTTTTGGGCCCTTTCTGGCAGCTCTGCAAGCTTCTGCCTTCTAGTTTTGGGTGAAATGCCCTCTCCTCTTTAAATTTTTGTTTCTGGATGAAATGTCCCTCTTTTCTGGTTCTTTATTTCTCAAACGGATCCCCTGCCATCTTCTACCGGGACCGGAGGCCAAGTCCCACTTGAGACCCAAATTCTCAACTTCTGACCGTAGATTCCGAAGATCAATGGGCAGAAATGAAGAATCGGCGTAAGTGGGACTTGGCCCCGGTACATCGAAAAAGCTGCCTCCTTGAATACTGGGACTGGACCCGACTGGTACCTACAAAGCATGGTGTTGTTGTTCTCCATACCCCCGGAAGATCCAGTAGAGGGGGCTCATACTGGCGGTGGTGGGGCTCATACTGGCTGTCTAAACCAGCAGCACGTCCAAGCCTATTTTTCTCGGTGCCGAATGTGTTTGCACGCCGAGTAGCTGGCGACGCCACACAATCGAAATGGAAAGGCTGGTGCTGCCAGGCTTTGTGTTTCCGGGTCCCGAGCCCTGATAAATGCCTGCGTTGGAACAGAATAGCTGGGACAAGTACGGGTGGTTTTAACCATCAGCGCATCCAGCCCTCTTTCGTATGAGGGGGATTTTCCCCAGCACGCCAAGCTTTGCCGAAAAGTTATTGTTTAAGCCACCAGTACTTGGCCCAGCTATCGGCCGCGGAAAAAAATAGAGTACAAACGTTTCTAGTCGGCTGAATTTGGGCGCTCCTGTAGTGACCAGTGCATTTCCTAAAATCGTGGCGCGTTAACGGGCACTACTCTAGGAAGTACTGGTGGTTTAAGCTTTGGCTGGTGCAGCCAGCCGTGTTGGTCCGGTTGCCCCGACTCCCTATCCTCCAAAATTTTCTGAGTGACTCAGTCTTGATTCTAAAGTTGGCTGGGGGCACCCACTGGTGGTTCAAGTGCTTGAGTTGTACTTGCAATGTCTGCACAACTTTCTCCTCCTCCAAATTGTCCGAATAGGTCATTCTCCCCTCCTCACATTTCGAAGACAGAATCCCTCTGGTTATTATATACTGGGCTTAAGGTTCTGTCGTGATTTCCAAACTTGAAGCTTAGGATATGAGTCCGTCCAGCACTTCCAAACTTATTTATAGAAAATCTATTCCCACCACGTGCTGCTCCCCACAAATAGATTGGAGCCTTGTTCCAATTAAAAAAAAAAAAAAAAAAAAAGCTGTCTATGTAATATATATCGTCAAACAGAGATATCAATAAAATGAGGGTTTTATTTATTTTATTTATTAGTATTAAAATAAAAACTTTCTTGCATTCCGTCTCCTGTGGCTGGCTTTTGCATGCCATACAGAGTGCTGTTATTGGTGATTCATTTTTAATTTTTTTTAGAAAGGGCTGCAGTCTTGAGATCTATGTGACCGTTTGAATCCGCCGAATGCGCGTTCGCGTTCGAATGCCCGCGTTCAAACGGCCTTGGGCCGCGTTCATACACGTTCAAACGCGCTGTGCGCCACGTGCCGTGAATATATAGAATGCGACCCACCCTGCCATATGAGCGTATGGTGGACTACGGGTGAGGGGATTTGGATTTTCAAAAAAAAAAAAAAAAAAAAAGTGTGGCAGACTGGC